AAATGACAACCCCGCTATTGTTCCTAAGATCATTTCTCCCTCCCAAGTGAGAACTTGTTCCTCTTACTACTCTTTCCCACCGCTTGAGACGCCATCAGAGCTATTTTCAGTTGATTGGACGGCACAAACCCCCGAGCCTCCATCAGTCCATGTATTCTCTGAGCATCCTGCACAAAACCACCATCCACGAGCGAACCTATAATTCTTTCAAAATCCTCTGGCTCCAACTGGTCAATTTTTGATTCAAGAACGCCCAGAGCTTGAAGCAACTTCTTCTCAGCTCCCGCCTTAATGTACATGTCACAGAGGCTTATGTGGATCCTAAATGGTGGAGCCTCACCCTGTTGGGAAATCTTATCCAAAATCTGCTCAGCTTCTTCAAACAGCTTCAGCTTGCTAAACCAGTCAACCAGAACCGTATAAGTAGCCACCCCTGGCACAAAGCCCTGTCCCTCAAGCTCCAATAATAGGTCCAACGCTTTATCCAGTTGATTCTTCTTGCTGTATGCAGTTATCATGCTGGCCGTACATCTGTCATCCGGCTTGTGTCCAAGTTTTGTTATCTGATTGAAATTATACCTGGCGCGTTCCGGGTCTCCCGCGCGTCCGTATGCCTCAACCAGCAATGTGCAGGATTCCAGATCAGGACTGATTCCAGAAAATTGCATGCTGGTTGAAATTCGATCGGCACCATTGACATCACCAGCCTGAGCATAGGATCGGATCAAGGCCATGAATATCTCTTTTGTGGGCCTCATATCCCTTGTTTCCAGTTGTCTCATCAAGGACTCGCCCAATTTTGGTTGACCGGCATTTACATAGGCCATGATCATAGAATTGCACGCCTTCTCATCCGGCTGAAATCCGTGGGCCCTCAAGCTGTCAAATGCTTCTTTTGCTCGATCAAGGTTTCCTGATTTGCAGTACATGTGGACAAGGACGGTTAACGTGATTACATCGGGTAAAATGCCGTTTTTGTTCATCTTATTTAAAATCCTTTCAGCATCATCTAAGCGATTTTCTTTAGCAAGAGCATCAATCAGCTTTGTGAAGTCACGAATGTTAGCTTGGAAGGACTCTTCAGCAAGTACAAGTTCTGCAATCTGAAGAATGACACTAAAAGTTAGTCAACTCAGGATCGAAAGATTTAAAGGATGATTGTATGATCAACTCCATTCATCATGACATGAGCTACAAATAGTTTTAAAAAAAAAAAAACTGTATGACAGCAGTATCCAAGCAAATCAAATTAGGATAAAATTATAACATACAGCCCTGCAACCACATTCACAGAACTTCAGAGCAAATGATAGCATCTGAAAAACACATCACTATAATCATGATGTCACAAAATGCTAGCAAGTACTTTGGGATAATTTCCTGAACATATAACTATTCAACATCACACCAATTCAATTGTAACCTTCAAATCTGACCAAGGGAAATGTTGTCAATTTCTCATGCAAGTAACCTTTGGTGTTCTAATTATGCACCATAAGGAATAATGTTGACTTGTCATGGACACGTGGAGCCGCGGAGGTCAAGACAGCGATCTCCATTTCGTGATATATATAAATATATATAGAGAAACACTACAAATGCTACTTATAAAAACATCATAGAAAAGAAAAGGAAGGAGAAAAGAAAAGGTCCGTGTTTCATATACACGAGGTCAGTGTAAGACACACTACAAATCTACTTATAAAAGCATCTTAAGAAAGAAATGGTCAGTGTTTCATATAAAGACAAGGTCAGTGTTCCACATACACACGAATAGCCAAGTTATTACTTTTTCTGATACGATGCAACCTCTCCATGCACTCAGCAAATCCTTCAGTTTGAATTTTGAAAGACACAGTTCTCCCTGATATATTGAACATTTCACTTATTCATGCATGATCAGACAATTATATATAATAAAACATAAGTATACACATTATATCATGATATCAAAACAAAATCAAGCAATATTCTGAATGTAAATCGAATACTTTTTCTAAATAACACAAAATGTCTCAAGCAATTCTGAGATAAAGTTGGAAGGAAAATCAAAGTTTTACCTTAAAGTATAGATTGGGATTATTATCCTTCAATTTCTCAAGAATATTAATCCAGTCGACCCTATTAGGCTGGAGAAGACCTATCCATTCGCTTAACAGTGGAGCAGGATCATCCTCTTCTCGCAGACTGAGAATCTGGTCGGTAACAAGCTTACACTTACCAGATATTGGCTTTGGCCCCTTGGGCCACATAATTTCACCTCTCTCATGAATCTTATCAGCCACCTCAGCCCATTTCGGATCTGATAAGTCAAGTCCATAAATCTTGTACTTAATCTTCCCATGTCTTTTCGGAAGAGAGACAGTCTTCTTTTCTCCTTCAACTGCAGCATCATTAGCCTCTTCTCCACCAAAATTTTCTTGTCTCGATTCGTTTGTTTCCTGGGATTCAGCTAGTGATTCTTCAGTCCGGAGTTGTTCCAAGCTCTGGTAAAACTCGCTTTCCTCCATTTTTTCGCGGGCCCACTTGAACCTAAGCTCCCTCAGCATATCCCCACGGATGCCCACTTCACCAGCAAACCTGTACATCTCCTTGACCTCCTCCGACTGAAGAAAACTCTTCATTTTCTCTTTCTTCTTCTCTTTCTCCATGTCTTGCAGAACCACATTGCTAACTTCCCACACCGTTCTCCACAAATCCTCACTGAAATCGTCCGAGGGCATTGACGCAGCAGGCCCTGCCATTTTCCCGAGGCCACCCTTTTCCATCTCTGATACAACACTCTCCACAATAACCACCAGCATACCATCAACCGTGGCCTTGTCACACCCAGGATAAGCTTCGACGAGTTTTTTACGCATAACCCAGACGAATCGAGATAGGAACTCATTCATGGTGGCATCATTCTCTGATTCGGCTTCCGAATCTTTCGACGAGCCACCCAGATTCGCTTGCTGCGAAGTGTGACCAAACCCACCGAACGATTTGTCAAAACTAGGGCTTTTCGGACCATCGACGAGAGATGAGGCGTGACGAGCTCTCGGCGGGTGAAATAAATATGGTTCGGAGGCGTCAGCAGCTGAACAGGATCTGTAACCAGAGGAGACAGAAGACAATACCCTACCATTAACATTCGATATGCGGGTGAGCGTGCGCGTGCTCAAGAACCACCTCATGCTCATGCCGATTGTTCTTACAGAGACTCACAGCAAATGAAAAGGCAGCAGCCAGCAATTATCGACTAAAGCGCCACGATTAAACGAGTGAGCCCTGTATTTCAAAGACAGCAGAATCAAGTATTACAAAAACACTCATTATAAATTCATTCTGTTCAAAGATTAGGTGTACTGTGTTGTTCCAGTCAGTAATGAGCTTACCTAAGAGAGGGAAACTGATTGAAGGGTGGAAAGTTCAGAACCCGAAGCGTACAGAGGCGAGGGAGAAGACGCAAAACCCTATGATCAGAACCTTTAGCGAATCTAACCGGGTTTGATCCGTATGTAGAGTGGAGCCGTCACAAACCTGAACCGGGTTTGGCCCTATTACAAATATGTCAATTTTAGGAAAATATCTAGAGGCTAGAGCAAATTGCAATTTTTATGTTTGGAGAAAGCTGATGAGAAGGCTGTAGGAAGTTGTCCCTTTCGGGGACATCCGATAAAATTGGAACGATACAGAGAAGATTAGCATGATCCATGTGCAAGGATGACACGCATAAATCGAGAAATGGTTCAAATTTTTCCCCCTCCGACTCCGGACTCTTATTCGGATGGACCAGCTGCAGTACCCATTCTTCAGATTTGGACAGTCGCCACCACATGATCCTGACTAGACTGGATATTACAAGCTTTACGTCTGACCCATGGACAGGCAGCTTTCTCATATGTCTTTGCCTTTAGCTTCATATTGGTCATTTTTCGACTCTGTAAGAATATTTATCCGATTTAATCATATATCGGTACAGCGGAATGATCGAGATTACATACTTCCAGCCATTGCTTGTGAATGTTTGAGTTATTTGAAGAACTTGTAGAACACAACAGTGAATGCTTTGACACTTTCACTTTTATTTGGTCAAGATCTTCTAGGCTCTTTCACTTTCTCTATAGATGGTGTAAGATTTAGTAGTTGTAAAGTGATGAGCCTAGGGACCTTTTATAACCTATGGTACCCTTTGGCAGAAAGGTACTTTTTCATATATGGTACCTTTTGGTATAAAGGTACCTTTTGATATATGATACCTATTGGAATATGGTACCTTTTGATAGAAATGTACAAAGTCTACTTATTAATTCTGTCCATCATAGAATTAATAAGTGATTAACAATATTTGTACACTTTATAAATAGGAACATGTGGACCACATTAAAATTATCTTGTTTATACATAATACAAGATAATAGAGAAAATAAAATACTAACATTCTCCCACTTGGTCCATATGTTACTATATCAAAATAATAGAATACAAAGAACACGGATCATAGCGATATGTTCTCTAAAATTGAGTAGTATCTTCCATGTATTACAATGCACTTTGATCCATCAATCTGCCTTTTAACTTAATGAATAAACCCAATGTTTATTCTAGGTCCAAACATAAATGATAATTCTCAAGATAAATGTGCACAAATTAAGTGAGAAAATATCAATAAAATTTATAATGTAACAAGTAACAACAAATGTACGTACAACCAAATGTTACATACTAGAACCGAGTCCCATTCGTACTACATGATCCTTAAAATTCTTAGGTGGCATGCCCTTAGTCAAAGGATCGGCAATCATTAATTCAGTGCTAATGTGCTCAATGACCACTTTTTCTTCTTTCATACGTTCCCTCACGGCTAAGTACTTGATGTCGATGTGTTTACTTCGACTTCCACTTTTATTATTCTTTGCCATGAATACCGCGGCTGAATTATCACAATGTAGTCTCAATGGCTTAGATATAGAATCAACAATTCTAAGCCCAGATATGAAACTCTTTAACCATACACCATGACTAGTAGCTTCAAAACACGATACGAACTCCGCTTCCATTGTTGAAGTAGCGGTCAAGGTTTGTTTGGCACTTCTCCAAGATATAGCTCCGCTGGCCAACATGAAAATATATCCAGATGTGGATTTTCGTGAATCAATGCAGCCAGCAAAGTCAGAATTTGAGTAACCAGTCACCTCCAAATTTTCAGTTCGTCTATACATGAGCATATAATCTTTTGTCCCTTGAAGGTACCTCAGCACCTTCTTTGCAGCTCTCCAATGGTCAATACCTGGATTACTCTGATATCTTCCTAACATCCCAACAACAAATGCAATGTCTGGTCTGGTACAGACCTGAGCATACATAATGCTTCCAACAGCTGAAGCATATGGAATGGATTTCATTTGTTCACGTTCGAGCTCATTCTTCGGACATTGATTCAAATTGAATCTATCACCCTTTACAATTGGGGCTACGCTTGGTGAACAATCTTTCATATGAAATCTCTCTAAAACTTTATTAATATAAGCTTCTTGAGACAAACCTAAAATGCCTCGAGATCTGTCCCTATCAATCTTAGTGCCAATGACATAAGACGCATCACCCATATCTTTCATATCAAAGCTTTTGGAGAGAAATTGTTTCACCTCATATAACATACTCTTATCATTAGTTGCAAGTAGTATATCATCAACATATAGAACTAGAAAACATATCTTGCTCCCACTAACCTTCTGGTATATACATTGATCCATGATGTTTTCTTCAAAACCAAATGAAGTGATAACTTCATTGAACTTAAAATACCACTGTCGGGAGGCTTGTTTCATCCCATATATTGATTTATTAAGCTTGCAAACTAAATGCTCACCCTTACTAGAGGAAAATCCTTCAGGTTGTTTCATATAAACATCCTCTAGTAAATCACCATTAAAAAATGCCGTCTTCACATCCATTTGATGTAACTCAAAATCAAAATGAGCTACTAATGCCATAATAACTCGAAGAGAATCTTTCTTAGATACTGGAGAAAAAGTCTCCGTGTAATCAATTCCTTCTCTTTGAGTGAATCCTTTTGCAACAAGTCTTGCGTTATATCTTTCAATGTTGCCTTGTGAATCTTTCTTGGTTTTGAAAACCCATTTACAACCAATAGGTTTCACACCTTTAGGCAACTAAATAAGATTCCAGACTTTGTTTGATGCCATAGAATCCATCTCTTCTTTCATGGCATTATACCATAAGTTTGATTGCTTCGAACTTATAGCTTGTGAAAACGTCTCAGGATCATTTTCAACTCCAATATTGTAGTCACTCTCTTGCAAATACACAAAATAATCACTAGGAATTGCTGACTTTCTTGATCGAGTAGATCTCCTTAGTTCTTGATCAACAACTTCCTCATTTCCAGAATTTTCTACAATTGGATTAGGAACATGTTGAACTTCAGGATCTACAAGATGTGGGTCTACATTTTGTGGAATTTCCAAAACCCGTTGTTCAACATACGCTTGTACTTGAGGCATATTATTGACAACAGTCATGCTATCACTTGCAATGAGATTTCTAGAATAGTCTTTCTCAGAACTAATGTTCAAAGATTGACTGCTCCCACTGATCAAGTCATTTTCAAGAAATATTGCATTTCTTGATTCCACAAACCTAGTGTTATGAGATGGACAGTAAAATTTATATCCCTTAGATCTTTCGGCATATCCAACGAAATACCCACTTATTGTCCTCGGGTCCAACTTCTTTTCTTGAGGATTGTAAACTCTCACTTCAGACGGACATCCCCAAACGCGTACATGCTGTAAACTCGGTTTCCAACCTTTGAATAACTCAAATGGAGTCTTTGAGACTGCCTTAGTTGGAACTCTATTCAGTATGTACACAGCCGTTTTCAGAGCTTCAGTCCACAAAAACTTAGGAAGTTTAGAACTAGCAATCATACTTCGCACCATGTCCAATAATGTTCGATTTCTTCTTTCAGCTATACCATTTTGATCCGGAGATCCTGGCATTGTATATTGGGCAACAATACCATTTTCCTGAAGAAATCTAGCAAAAGGACCAGATGCTTGTCCACTTTCTGTGTATCTACCATAGTATTCACCACCTCTATCTGATCTCACGATTTTTATTTGCTTTCCACATTGCTTCTCTACTTCAGCTTTAAAAACCTTAAAAGCATCAAGTGCTTCATTCTTATTTTGAAGCAAGTAGAGATACATAAAACGTGAATAATCATCAATAAATGTGATAAAGTACTTATCACGATATGCATCTATATCAGGACTACAAATGTCCGTATGAATTATTTCCAATATTTTAGAACTCCTCTTAGCACCTTTCTTTGACTTGTTAGTTTGCTTGCCTTTAATGCAATCTATACAAGTCTCAAAATCAGAGAAATCTAGAGTATTAAGTACTCCATCACTTACTAATCTCTTGATTCTGTCAATGGAGATATGACCTAATCTCCGATGCCACAAGATAGAGGAATCCTCATTCACAACACATCTTTTAATACCAGCATTATTATGAACGTGCATAACTTTATAATTATCTTCATTTTGCAAAGTAAGTCGAAAAAGACCATCAGATAATATTCCAGTACCAATAACATTTGATTGAAAAGATAAACTAAAATCTGAGTTTGAAAAGTTAAAAGAAAACCACACTTTACTAGTCTAGATACTGAAATCAAGTTCCTAGCAAAACTAGGAATATAAAAAGTCTTTTCCAAATACAAAACAAAACCACTACTTAAAATTAGTTTGCACGTTCCCACTGCTTCCACATGTGAGGGCATCTTGTTTCCCGAATAAATGCTATGCTCACTTCCCACTGGTTTCCGCAGGTTTAGCAATCCCTGCAAGGAATTAGTAACATGGATTGTAGAACCAGAATCAATCCACCATGTGTTATGATTAACATCAACCATATTGGATTCATAACAAACAAACGAAAGTTGATTACCTTTCTTCTCAAGCCACTTTTGGAACTTAGGACAATCTTTCTTCACATGATTTTTTTTTTTTAAAAAAAAAACACTTGACTTCCTTCTTAATTTCCCTTTGAGGAGGAATTTTATCCTTCCCTTTATCTTTGGCTTGAAAACGTCTTTTCTTTCCCGATGTAGTAGTCATATTCACTTGCTCACCCTCTTCCATAGCCAAACGTCCTTCTTCCTGAACACACATGGTCATTAATTCATTTATAGACCACTTATCCTTATGTGTGTTGTAGGATATCTTAAAAGGACCATATTGGGAAGGAAGAGTGCACAAAATGAAGTGAACTAGGAAAGAGTCCGACATCTCAACTTCAAGTGTCTTTAGTTGAGCAGCTATATCTCTCCTGCGCATGATGTGCTCACGCACACCTCTAATTCCGGTAAGCTTTAGAGAAGAGAACTTCATTATAAGGATACTGGCCAATGCCTTGTCAGAAGACACA